GTCGCGGGCGCATTGGTGAGTCCGAACGGCAACACTCGAAACTCAAACAGGCCCATCGGGGTGGTGAATGCTGTTTTTGGCCGATCCTCCTCCGTCATCTCCACCAGCCAGTAACCGGATGCCAGATCGAGGGTGGAAAAATACCGCGCTCCTGCGAGACTGTCGAAGGTGTCGTCGATGCGAGGTATGGGGAAGGCATCGCCGAGCGTGACTGCGTTTAGTTTACGGTAATCGACGCAGAACCGGGTTGACCCATCCTTTTTCGTTACTAGTACCACCGGGGCTGACCAGGGGCTCGCCGAGGGCTGAATTATGTTATCGCGAAGCATGTCCCCAACTGCCTCTTTGATTTGGGCGCGTTCGGGTGCGCCCACTCGGTACGCAGGGAGTTTGATGGGTCGGGCTGCACCGGTGTCAATTTGATGCTTAACAAGGTCGGTCCGACCCACGTCCGAGTCGTGTTCGCTGAACACGTCGGCATACTCCCGCAGTAACTCGCGCAGCCGATCGGCCTCTCCCTTAGGTAAGTCCGCCCATGGTACATGTAACGCGTCGAGCAGGGGAACGACCTCGGCTCGGGGAGTCGGGCCGACTCGCCAGGCCAGGTCCTGCTCACCCTCAGGACGACCGGGGTCCTCAGCCCAGAGTGCGAACACCGAGTCGTTAGAGTGGCGTGCGTGCAGGGGGTGTACTGTGGCTATCGGGGTGCGCCGTCGCAGTATCGCGGGGGTATTGTGGGGGTTAAACATCCGCATAAACAATCGGTCCCCATCTGCGTTTACCAACGTGGCGGATCCCACAACCCCATACCGTTTTGCCAACTCCGGGTGAGGAGTTAGCATTACCTCCCCTGATGGTCGGAGCGCGGGGTCGGTGGGGGATGTTGCCACCGGCACCAGCATCTCGGTGAGCGGGCCGATGGTGACTGCCGTCGCCAGGATAGCGGCCACAGGTGCAAAGCGGCGGCGCGTTGGTTCTCGTCCCAGGAACGGTATCCGCTCGCCGTTGCTCTCCATGGTGGCGCATCGCTGGCGGGGTTGCACGTTGAGTCCCAACCGTTCTAGGAGGTCGGTGCCTGCGATACACTCGTGACACAACGCACTCGACACGTAGAACTCCTGCGTGCACACCTGGCTGCCTATGCGGACCTCTAGGGTGGCTTTCCCCAGCAGCCCCATTCCGGCTCCGCTCGCAGTGTGCAGCGCGCGGTCCGGGGCCTGCAGGTGACGCACGTCGACCCCGATCGCGCTGCAGTGCGCTGCGCTCACGAGCGAGGCCACCGCCCCCGTGTCCAGTAGGATGCGGGTACGCACTCCGTTTACCTCCCCTTCCACCAGCGACGTGGCCCCCGTGATCCCCGCCACCAGCTCCCGCAGCCAGTCGCCAGGAGTCACCGTTTCCGTGGGCGTTGTTGCTGGAACCTGTGTGGAGATCACTCGCTCGCCATTATTCTCATTATCGTCTATCTGTATCGGGACCGCGTCGATTGCACCCCTAGTTGGTCCGCTCTCTAGGGGGCGTTGGAGTTTAACCCCCGCGTCTGTCTAGCTCGGGTGATTTCCGGACAATCCCTCACTAGATGCCCTCGGCGATCGCACATATAACATGCCCGGGGAGGGGGGGCGGTTCCGTAGCGGGTCCCCTGTCCGCTCCCTCCCCCCCCATTACGCCGCTGTCCACCCTCCGCCTCTAGTCGGGCTACCCTCCCAGATAACCCTCCCACCGTGGCGCGTAGGTCCCCCATTTCGGATCGGATGGTCTCAACGGAGGATTGCAGTTGGGTCATATTTTTATTCGTTTCCTCGCGTACCTGGGTTACCTGGCCGGAGACATCCTTTATACCCATTTGTATACCGGCAACCCATCCCGGGGTTGTCTCGCGGGACACTGGAGGCTCTCTTTCCCGGCCCCTTACCGTCCTCGCGAGCTCCTGTTCCTCCTCCTCGTCTTCCGAGAGCAGGCTCGCAATGGCGCGCTCTCGTCCCAGCCCCCGGAGCTGCGCGCGTTCGCTGTGAATTCTTTCACACTTACGTGCGCGCTCGACAAGGGTGTTAAAGGGAAGACGTGGGCAGCTCATGTCTGGCTGCCACCACGCCGTGCGAGACAAGTACCGCTGGATTTTCTCGGCGGCCAGTTCCTCAATAACATCAGTTGCGTACCCCGGGCGTGCGATCTTTGTTAACTCGCGCACATCCTCGGCGTAATCACGTAGATCTTCGCCAGGTTGGCGCCGGCGCGCCTCTAAGGCCGATTTTGCTTCCTCCTCGTCACGCGTGCCAAAACGCTGATCGAGTCGGCGCATCAGCTCCTCTAGCTGTGTCTGTGCGCTCGCGGGTAACGCTTCTACAAAATCGGCTGCCCGCCCATCAAGATTCATATTAAGTTGACGTACTGCCTGCGCGTCCGTCCATCCATTAATTTCCTTGGCCCCTAAGAGATTGCGGGCGAATGCCTTCCACGAAGGGGCCCCCCGGCCGGTAAATATTAGTCTTATTTTAGCGTGAGGTAACGCGGGGGTCCGTACCGCTTCCGACACCAATTTGTGGGGGTCGCTAGCCCCCGAGATCCCTCCCTCGATAACGCTAACGGCCGGGCTAGCATCATCAATCGCCCCCCCGCTGCTAAGCGAACCACTGCTAAGTTCCTCACCTATGGTGTGGGAGCCGTCGCCCGCGGATTCCCCTCCACCGCGGGTCCGCGTAATGGGCATGGTTAATTACCGATTAGTATTCTGCCCCTCTCTATTATGATACTTCCCTTTCCTAATCGCGCGCCTGCAACCCACGCGGGGCGAACGCACGCACGCCCACACACACGCCGCTCCGCGCACTCCAACTCAACTCACGTTATACTCGCGCACCTGTATCACACACGGAGCGAACACACGCGACACCCACTCTCGCACCGCTCTGCGCAGCGCTCCCCCGAGGCGAGCCGCAGCACCACAGAATCACTGCGTACCCACGCGCAACCCGCGCGCTCAGCTCCGCGCAGCGCTCACTCACGTGGCGAACCACGGTGCACACAGCGCACCCACACGCTCACACCGCACGACAAGATCACGCGAGACCACGCTTCGCTATTAATGATTTATTATATGCTACCTGCGAATTGATGTGGAATCAGTGAGTCGACGAGGCTGGCCTATTCCACTAAACCTGTACCTATTCCCTATTTATCGGCTTACGATACCCTACTTCACCTCCCCACTCACTGCTTGGTGCCCGCGGAGGTTCGCTGCTCTCTGCGCTAACAGCGTACCTCGATGCGTCGCACGGACGTCCGGGTCGCTGGCTGGAAGTCCTGCTGGTCCGCTGGCCTGGAGAGAAGGGAGCTATTTTCCCTCTGCGCCCCTCTATTTATCCTCCCTACCTTCAAGGGGATGCTGCGCTAAACAATGGGCTCGCGATCCTCTGGCACGCGCACGGCGGTTCTGGGTGCTGTTGATATGCTAATCAGTGTGCCGCGTGCAAGGCGTAAATCCTACTTAATCCCTTACCCTCCCTAACAATGGGGCCTGCGCGCTCAAGCGCAATTATCCCAACCCTCCATGACTATGCGCAACAGCCCCTGTGACCCCGCTATTCATGCTGTCCCGTGCCTCCCCTGCTCGCCCCGTCGACCCGTGGGAGTGTGTGTGGGGGGAAATGCGCCTCAACCGCGGTGGCCGAATGCCCCACGCCACGACCTACCATATTAAGGCCGGCCGCAGCGCCGCGGTGCCACGTAGCACGGGGAGGTCATCCAATTCCCTGATCGCCGGAGACCGTGAGAATTAATCCCGATAAGGGTCTCTCGGATAAAAACCGGTCGATCAGGTGACCTTCCCTTCCAGCTCTATGGGGGAGGGGGGAATGCGTGCGGGTGTGTGCTTATGTGGGGCGGGTGATGGGGGGCAGTGCGGTGGGGGAAGCCGGGCGGCTCCCTGGTTCGGCAGAGCGGCCCAGTCGTTGTGGCACCACACAATCCACCCCGTCCAATAATTAAACTGAAACGTATTTGTATTTATTTATATAGCAAGAATACAGAAAGGCGTTTGATCGACGTGTGGGACATCTCTGCTGAGCAGCGGAGCATCGTGAAGACGGGGAGAATAGGCGGTGGACCAAAGTACAGTACAATAACAGGTTTTATCTGCACCGCCCTTTGCTGACAAAGCAGTGCATTGTGGTCGCCCTGCCAAGCGCTATCCAGGCCCAGCCAGCTTAGCTTCCGAGCGCATTGCGTGTGATTTGGCCATGAAATAATAACAATAAATACTAACAATGATGTCACCTTGAAACGCGCCGCTCCACACAGGAGTCGCTCATCGCCCTTGTAGAGAGAGAGGGAGAGGACGACTCGGAGGCGCCAGGAGGAGGGACCACCGACGAGGAGCGCCAAGGCAGAAGCAGCAGCAGTGGCCACGCGGCGAGCAGCCGGCGTCAGGTTCCCCCAAAGCTCTGCGGTCCTCTATATATCAAGGCGTTATGTTTGCACCTGGAGAAACCCCACGCATGCAAGGGTGCAACTCTCTCTTCCATACAGATGTAACCGATGGAGATTAGTCCACATTTGCTGATGGCACCTCCTCGACGCTCACGGCAAGGGGTGTTTCGCAGCGTTTCTGTGATCCGCCAACCCTTGACGCTGCCTGCACAGTGACAGGCCGCGTGCATAGCCATCGCCGTGCGTGCAACTGAGGTCACCAGCTGCTCGATGCATGACGAGACACACAGCCGGCGGGAGTGATTTGTACTGCACTGTTTACAGATCCTGTGACGATCGACCCTGGGACTGGTCTATATCGAGGTGTACAGTATACATCGGTGGGTATATACAGGATCATAAGCTGCCATGGTTCATCCACTGTTGGATGAAGGCCTCCCAAACCGTCTCCACCCCTCCCACGGTCCGCATCTTATAACTGTGGAACTCATCAGACCAGCTGTTGTGCATTTGACGAAATGTTTACACGGATATAAATAGCACAGAAGACACCAAAGGCCCCCGAATAGGATGGCATACTGTTGGGGCGAGTGCTGTTAGCAAGCGCCTATGAATGCCAGCACGGTGCATGAGGTGCGCGTCGATAAAACACGCACACTTACGTTCGTGTAAGTGTCTCTATGAGTGTGGGTGAGCGTGCGCGACTGCCGTGCCAGGCTAGGTGCACGTTTAAATCAGCGCCCAGCCAGTTGGTCGCTGCTCGCTCCGTGCCCTTGGCGCCGCCGCGCCCGCGAGGTTATAAACGGCGCCAGAAAGCGGACACCGCGACTATTTTGGGCCGTGGGGTCCACGGGGGCCACATTGGGGCCACACCGAAGCCATCTTCCGTCCGACGCTGAGACAAACAGACTTTCCTGCGGCCTCAACAAAGACCCCCAGAGCCGAAGGGGACCGCACACGGAGCTCACCGCAGGGGCCACGCAGAGAGAAGGGACAGGCCCTTTGGCTCGTGCACGGGATTTGTGTGAAGAGGTGCGAGGTGCGAGGAGGAGGAGGAGGAGGGAGCGCCGCGTCTGATTAAGTGCAGGAGCAACCTTTCTGATGGGAGACCCCGGAGAAGACACCCATGAAGGTACGGAGCTGAATCACCACGCATTCCACTCCTCGTATCCCTGTGATTTTCTCCCTCTCACTCGCGTCCTGACTCTCACTTAGATTTCAGCTTCGTGAGACCGGGGAGTCCTATATCTATGCATATTTTACAGAATATTCAATGTCACTGTGGCCTTAAGATGAAAATAAAAAATATGGTAGGCGACATTTTGGGCAATTTCCTTCGCAGCACCAATTCCCTTAAATGAGTTGTTATGTGTGCTTATTCACCACTACCAAAGCAATATAAACACATTATACACAGTATACAGTATATACATACGCACACATCGTTTCCAAAACACGAGCAAGTGCTGCTAATGTGTTGCATTGCTGCCCGTTTGGATGGCCACATTCTCTCAAAATGTCTTGAGTCGATTATTCTAGAAAGACAAAAAGGCCACGTGTGCAGTTCTTAGTGAGCTGGTGGTCTAGATAAGGCTGATAGCGTTTGCCCTTGCGATGCGGCACACCTGTGTGTCGTTACCTCTCTGTGGGCAAATCACCCAGAGTGCACCCGGGCTCGTCAGATCTCGGAAACTAAGCGGGATTTCAGCCTAGATAGTGCATAACAAGGTGATATAGGCTGCTGCGGGACTTCGTTCTGGGCAGCAGAGAGCAGTGCAGCAACATCCACGGTTGTACTGCACTGCTGTGCTCCCGCGCCTGTGCTGCCCGCATTCACCAACCTGCACTATGACTACCGCGTAGCGAGGCGCTCATCCAGAAGTGGATTGACACGAGGGCTGTGCATGTGCGGCTCTTCACATCTGCGATGAGTAAAACACTTTCACTCACTCACTCACACATCCAGGAACGTCACCCCGAGTCCCAAGGCTAAGTTTCAGGAGGGCCCTTCCAAGTCTGTTTTCACAGCAGAGGGGTTGATGTCGCTCCGGCTGCCGCTGCTGTGTTTGTGTTGATCCCAGTTGAGTAATGTGCAAGATATTTCTCAGCATTGGGATGTTTGGCCAATACCAGTCACACTGTGTGTACGGGTTCGGCAAATCTCTGGCTGTTACAATCGGGTTTCTGGAATTATCGATATCCGCAAGAGATACGCACACGGCTAATACCGGTCTGCCACGTAACGCTGTCTCGAGCAGTATTTGGCTCTGTGACTCAGGCACGGAGGCATCTGCCACAGCAATGGCGTAAGGATTGGTGTCACTCATGGAGCAACTGCGATCCAGAGGTCGCCAGCTCCACCTCATCTCCCGGAGTGGGAGCTGAAAAATGGGGTGCATGTATGCGTATTTGTGTGTCTTCGTATGTCTGTGTCTGCATGTGTACGTGAGTGTCAGCGTGTATGTATGCGTCTGCGTGTGTCTCGGTGTCTGTATGGGTATTTGTGTCTCTCTGCGTCTGTGCGTGTCTCCATGTGTGTCTCTCTGTATACCTGCCTGTGTCTCTGCGCGCGTCTCAGCCGGGCCTGCCGAGGACTCCCCCGAGCTGTGCGCTCCCTCCCCGGCTTCTGCCTCCTCCTCGAAGCCTCCTGTGGCTCTGGGCACGTGGATCGTGCTCGGCTCTCTGCTGGTTCTGTGGCTCGCAGCCTCCGTGGTGGCTCTGGGATGGGTCAACTCGCAGTCCGTCGGTGAGGCTGCGGGCCGGCCCGCTAGGCTGTAACCACGGCTGATTTACAATGCACGGGGCAGACAAATGCCGCGTTTCCACCACCACCACCTCGTGCTTGCTTAGGGTCTCGCCCGTTCCAGGGGCTAAGCCCCACCGACCACGGAGCCCCACGACCGGGTCCTCAACACGGTTGGAGGAATCGATGAGTTAAGTTCTTTGAAAACTTCACGTTGACCACGATAGCAGTCAACGTGAAGTGATGAGAAGGCGAGCGAGTGACTGGAGTGACTTCGTGAGTCTCGTGAGCTACATCTCACCGCCCCCACCCCCTTTCTGGGCCCCCAGAGATTGCATTTGCAGGTCATAAGAGAGCATTGCATTTCTCACACTTTTTTGAACCAGGAATGTAGGGCAGTTCAATTCCTTTTACTGAGACGGCGGTGAATTGGCCCAGAATGCATTGCTCAGTCGGTCATGCTTTGTCCTCACAAGAACACATCTTCCCACAATGCAGTGTCCTAGCAGTGTTTTATTATTTTACTTATCAGATATATGCGTTTGTTTAGTGACAGTGATACTTTGTGATTATTGAAGGGGTGGTCTGTTAATCACTACCTGCTGTTGGGTAACTTTTCATATGCCTATTTAAAAAGAGGTAATCAGAAATTTTAAAAAATGAAATTCTGATCAGGCCGCATGGTGCAAGCAATTGCGGTCTCCAACTCTTATCATCCACTCTGTCTCTCTACTGCATCTCTATTCATGTGCTATGACGAAGGACCATTGCCCGAAACGTCACCTATTATATATGTGTGATTCCATTCAAGGCCACGCAGTGTGGTTGTTGACGAACGTGTTGAGTGTTCTTGTTGGCTGTGCTTGTGCACCGCTGCCAACGCAGCAGCAGCAGGAAATCCGATTGACCAGAGGGCCACTGATTACCACCCCGCCCTTGTTCCGAGTTGTCCCCTGGGACACTCGAGCCCGGTTCTGAATGGGCTGCGAGTGAAAGCGGGCCCGGTTAGAGGCCCTGCAGTCACTGGCGACAGGGCAGAGACCATCGACTCGCTCGACGAATTGAGAAGCCCGTGGGAGTGATGCACTTGGCCTGCCACCCAGAATTATCAAGGTGGGGTTGTCGGACCACACAAATGTCGCAAAACTCTTTCCCGTGAGCGTCGACGAGGTGCCGTACCCTGACTTGCCAGGAGAGGCGGTACAGCAAAGTGTGAACTACTTTCCATCTGTTCCCTCTGCGTGGAATATAGTGTTGCGCCCTCGCATGCGAAGCTTACTCCTACGTATGTAAACACGTATTAATCGGTTGAAAACTTCTTAAAATATAGAGGACTGCAGAACTTGGGCAAATGTTGGCAGCGCCAGTTCACCGCCTGGCTGCTGCTGCTACCTTCCAGCTCGTGGTTGTGGTTCCTACTCGGCGACTGTGAGAGGTGCACTTTGAATGAGCGGCGCTAAATTAAAACGCCACGTTATTAATCTCGGGCAGCTGAAACCGGATCCCAACGCGCATGGTGCCCACTGAGTAATAATATAATCCTTGGGCACCTCTGCCAAGTGCCCTTATACGTGCAGATGCATCCTCGCGTCTCCTGCAGTGCTGCGAGCTTCAGTTACAGAGGAGGCAGCCCTCCCGCCCCGTCTCCCCCTCTCGAATGAATCGCAGACGAACCGCCCCGACCTGCGCGCTCCAGCGGCCCTCCCGAGCCTCCGCGCCGGTGGCCGTGCGTGGTTGGTGCGCGCCGAGGCGCAAAACAATGAAACGGGGCCCCCTGACCCCAAATCTCCTCTTGGTGAGCCCGGAACCTGGGCCCCCTGACCCCTGGGCCCCAGTGCAATTGCGCAGCATGCACACTCGAGTCAAGTCCGTTTGATGGTAATTAGCCTGTGGCGCTGTTTTGACACAGGGCTCCCATCTAAGGCCCCATCGCATCGAACACGCAAACAGAATACAGCAAAGATAATTTTAGAAAGTAGATGACATCCGTTTTTTTTATCCAAAGAAAAATCGCGAAACAATTCTTAAGTTCTGAAAACAATTCCCCACCATCACCACCACCCTCGCAATCACCACGGTCACCGCACAAGAGATGTGGTTGTGCGGTAATGGCTGGAGGCGAGCGAGAGCTGCGCCGCTGCCGGTCGCGGCTCCCTGGCCCCGCCACCACGAGCAGGGCGCCCTCAATGCGCCCTGCGCCGCTGGTATCCAGAAGCCAAGCTGGGGCCGAACCCGGGGAGTAATTGCACGTGGGACTGTTGGGGATAGCAAGCGTGGTAAGCTCCGGTTGCGATCTGGACAGGATATGGCCGTTCTAGCAGTGGACTTGTGAATCTATCTGTGCGGAGCGTTAACTGTCGCCCCCGCCCCCGTGTGCGTGCTGGGGTTTCTCCGCGTTCTCCGGGTTGCTCTCCATGCGAAGCCAAACTCGCATTGCCAAGGAATTGGCCAAGCATTCCAAAGTAGCAGCACCCTCATGAAAATAGTCTTGAGGCTCAGTGAGGCTTTCCTAAGTAAATGCCAATGTTATGAAAGAGAACACAGGCGGCATGCGTTCTCTGTAGGATGAAGCTTCAATCGCCGTGTGCCACCATTATCCCCATCCCTTAGCTGTCCACTCTTCCAGGAAATTGCCATTGTCCGTCATATGTCACTGAGGGGCTCCTGGCTTTTCTACATCTGGCAGTTCTGCAGTGATCGTTCAGGCGAGCCTCACTCTGCTGTTGAGACATTGTTCAGAGTTTGCTTGGATTGAACCAATGGTGCTGAAATGTTGCACTCTCCGAGAAAAGGCGGTGTGGCTGACGGGATGTTTATACAATACCTGTATATTGCATTTAGAGGAACAGATGTGTGAATGAGGTGGATTGCTGATGTGTTACTTCACTCACAGGAGCGGTGACATGGCCACGCAGACAGCGCCAGCAACTGAGCCCCAAACCGCAGTTCGATTCCCTGCACCGCCTTGAGCTCTGTGATTGTGTGAAGGCTCTCGAGTGGCAGTGAGCCCATCTTCCCTTCACGTGCAACAATCAGCTCTCGAGCTCATCTGCCGCTGGATTGGGGGCGGCCCGTGGAGATCAGGGTTACTTGAACATACTTCACCACGCTGGTCAGATCAGTGCATGTTGGTGAAGAGGAATGGGGGCCCAGGAATTGGTTGGACACAGGGTTAGAGTTCACGAACGTGTGGAGATGGCGCGGTTGTAATCGGGCGTACAGCGAGGGGCATGACGGGCGTGTGGCGATGTTGCAGGGCACGTCGCGACGGGACGCGCGGACGTGGACGAGGAAGCGGGGCTGGGCTACTCTTTCCTCACCTTCTTCTTTGATGCCTTTGAACCCGAGTCGGCAAAGCCAGGTGAGGTCCACTCCTCCCGTCGTCTGCACGTTTCGTGCCGTGTGAAATGTGTACTGTGTGCAGGTTATTGTTCTCCATATGGGAGTGCGCGGCTGTAGATGCGTGTGTGGGGAGCGGTGGTGCCGGGTTTAGCGGCGCCGCGCTACGAAACACCGGTGGGTGGGTGCATTGTGCGCCTGTTGAGAGCGGGAGTGCAATGGTTAGTGCGCTGTGCTACGAATCCGGTCACCTGAGTTAGATTCCCGCTAACGTCCAACACCAGTGACGATTATATTAATAGGTACTGGGCCTCCCCTAGGTCGACTCAGCCTCAAATGAGTAACTGGTGCGATGTGTAAAACATCGCTACTGAGTAGACAAAGGCGACCGGGCACGGTCCTGTCCACTCAGCCCCTCGTGTGCCGTGACATCTGTTAAGGCTATACGGAGGATCTTTATCATGGTGTGTGTGTACATGGTGTGTGTGTGTGCATGGTGTGTACATGGTGTGTGTGTACATGGTGTGTGTGTGTGCATGGTGTGTGTGTGTGCATGGTGTGTACATGGTGTGTGTGTGTGTTGTGTACATGGTGTGTGTGTAGATGGTGTGTACATGGTGTGTGTGTACATGGTGTGTACATGGTGTGTGTGTACATGGTGTGTGTGTACATGGTGTGTACATGGTGTGTGTGTACATGGTGTGTGTACATGGTGTGTGTGTACATGGTGTGTGTACATGGTGTGTGTGTACATGGTGTGTACATGGTGTGTACATGGTGTGTGTGTACATGGTGTGTACATGGTGTGTGTGTACATGGTGTGTGTACATGGTGTGTGTTTACATGGTGTGTGTACATGGTGTGTGTGTACATGGTGTGTACATGGTGTCTGTGTACATGGTGTGTACATGGTGTGTGTGTACATGGTGTGTGTGTGTGTTGTGTACATGGTGTGTGTGTGTACATGGTGTGTGTGTACATGATGTGTACATGGTGTGTGTGTACATGGTGTGTGTGTACATGATGTGTACATGGTGTGTGTGTACATGGTGTGTGTGTACATGATGTGTACATGGTGTGTGTGTACATGGTGTGTGTGTACATGATGTGTGTACATGATGTGTGTACATGGTGTGTGTGTGTACATGATGTGTACATGGTGTGTGTGTACATGGTGTGTGTGTACATGGTGTGTGCATGGTGTGTGTGTGTGTGTGTACATGGTGTGTGTACATGGTGTGTGTGGTGTGTACATGGTGTGTGTGTGTACATGGTGTGTACATGGTGTGTGTGTGTGTACATGGTGTGTGTGTGTGTACATGGTGTGTGTGTGTACATGGTGTGTGTATACATGGTATGTGTGTGCATGGTGTGTGTGGTGTGTACATGGTGTGTGTGTGTACATGGTGTGTGTGTATGTGTACATGGTGTGTGTGTACATAGTGTGTGTGTACATGGTGTGTGTGTGTGGTGTGTGTGCATGGTGTGTGTATGTGTACATGGTGTGTGTGGTGTGTACATGGTGTGTGTGTACATGGTGTGTGTGTACATGGTGTGTGTGTGTGCATGGTGTGTGTATACATGGTGTGTGTGTACATGGGGTGTGTGTACATGGTGTGTGTGTGTGTACATGGTGTGTGTGTACATGATGTGTACATGGTGTGTGTGTACATGGTGTGTGTGTGTACATGGTGTGTGTGTGTTGTGTGTGTACATGATGTGTACATGGTGTGTGTGTACATGGTGTGTGTGTACATGGTGTGTGTGGTGTGTGTGTGTACATGGTGTGTACATGGTGTGTGTGTACATGATGTGTACATGGTGTGTGTGTACATGGTGTGTGTGTGTACATGGTGTGTGTGGTGTGTGTGTGTGTACATGGTGTGTACATGGTGTGTGTGTACATGATGTGTACATGGTGTGTACATGGTGTGTGTGTGGTGTGTGTGTACATGATGTGTACATGGTGTGTGTGTGTACATGGTGTGTGTGTGTACATGGTGTGTGTGTGTGTACATGGTGTGTGTAGTGTGTGTACATGGTGTGTGTGTACATGGTGTGTGTGTACATGGTGTGTGTGTACATGGTGTGTGTGTGGGGTGTGTGTACATGATGTGTACATGGTGTGTGTGTACATGGTGTGTGTGTGTACATGGTGTGTGTGTACATGGTGTGTGTGTACATGGTGTGTACATGGTGTGTGTGTACATGGTGTGTGTGTGTACATGGTGTGTGTGTACATGGTGTGTACATGGTGTGTGTGTACATGGTGTGTGTGTACATGGTGTGTATGTACATGGTGTGTACATGGTGTGTGTGTACATGGTGTGTACATGGTGTGTGTGTACATGGTGTGTGTGTGTGGTGTGTGTGTGTACATGGTGTGTGTGGTGTGTACATGGTGTGTGTGTACATGGTGTGTGTGGTGTGTACATGGTGTGTGTGTACATGGTGTGTACATGGTGTGTGTGTACATGATGTGTACATGGTGTGTGTGTACATGGTGTGTGTGTACATGGTGTGTGTGTACATGGTGTGTGTGTGTACATGATGTGTACATGGTGTGTGTACATGATGTGTACATGGTGTGTGTGTACATGGTGTGTGTGTGTACATGGTGTGTGTGTACATGGTGTGTGTGTACATGGTGTGTGTGTGTACATGATGTGTGTACATGGTTTGTGTGTGTACATGGTGTGTGTGTACATGCTGTGTGTGTACATGGTGTGTGTGTACATGGTGTGTGTGTGTACATGATGTGTGTACATGGTGTGTGTGTGTGTACATGGTGTGTGTGTGTGTGGTGTATACATGGTGTGTGTGTACATGGTGTGTGTGTGGTGTATACATGGTGTGTGTACATGGTGTGTGTGTGTACATGGTGTGTACATGGTGTGTGTGTACATGGTGTGTGTGTACATGGTGTGTGTGTACATGGTGTGTGTGTGTGGTGTGTGTGTGTGCATGGTGTGTGTGTATGTGTACATGGTGTGTGTGTACATGGTGTGTGTAGTGTGTACATGGTGTGTGTGTACATGGTGTGTGTGTACATGGTGTGTACATGGTGTGTGTGTACATGGTGTCTGTGTACATGGTGTGTACATGGTGTGTGTGTACATGGTGTGTACATGGTGTGTGTGGTGTGTACATGGTGTGTGTGTACATGGTGTGTGTGTGTACATGATGTGTGTGTGTGGTGTGTACATGGTGTCTGTGTACATGGTGTGTACATGGTGTGTGTGTGTGGTGTGTACATGGTGTCTGTGTACATGGTGTGTACATGGTGTCTGTGTACATGGTGTGTGTGTGTGTACATGATGTGTGTGTGTGGTGTGTACATGGTGTCTGTGTACATGGTGTCTGTGTACATGGTGTGTACATGGTGTGTGTGTACATGGTGTGTACATGGTGTGTGTGTACATGGTGTGTGTGTGTTGTGTACATGGTGTGTGTGTGTACATGGTGTGTGTGTGTGTACATGGTGTGTGTGTGTACATGGTGTAGTGTGTACATGATGTGTGTGTACATGGTGTGTGTGGTGTGTACATGGTGTGTGTGTACATGGTGTGTGTGTGTACATGGGGTGTGTGTACATGGTGTGTGTGTGTATCTGTTATGATGCCCACAGAGGAACCCGCAGTGAAGTCCGCCGGTGATGAAGCCAAGAAAGCCAAAAAGAAGCGAGCAGAGAAGGTGGTGGAGGCGGAAAAACCCAGCAAGAAGAGACCTCTCAAAGAGGTGAAGGAAGTCGAGGAGAAACTGTTGAAGAAGAGTAAGAGGGAAGACAAAGACGAGAAGGTAGCCCACAAGCCCGACAAGGGCCGGGACGCAGGGAGAGAGGGGCAGGCCGGCGGCTCAGCGGGCGGCGTGAAGTCGGGGAAGAGGAAGGAGGAGGAGGAGGGGAAGAAGAAGGAGGAGGAGAAGGTGAGTAGCGGCGGCGGCGCGGGCAAGAGAGAGGGCGGCGCTCGGGACGAGGGAGCGGAGAAGAGGCGAGACAAAGGCAGCGGCGCGGGCAGCCAGAAAGGGGCGAAGCGGGAGGAGAAGGGCAGCGCGACAGACGACAAGGCGGCGACGCGAGGAGCAAAGGGCAGCGGCCATGCCGATGAGAAGGCTGGGGCGAAGCCGGCCAAGAAGGGCGGCAACAACGGAGACGGAGGAAAGGGAAAACATCCCAAGGACAAAAATGACAGCGACCAGGAGAACAAGAGCCACGGGAAAAAGTCCAAGTGAGCGGTGGAGCGGAGTGTGGATCAGCGGTGGCTGACATCTGAGGTTTGCACTGCGGGTGATGATGTATGGCCCAAGTGGAGGGCGCTCTCCCCACACACACTCACACTCAGCTCTCATCTGAATCCAGAGATACACCCGTTCGGCAAGTGTGTCCGAAAACACATCACCTTCTCATTGTAATTGTAATTATATTAAACAGTGTCGAAATGTTACGTGTTCTCAAGATGCTCTGCAGGGCACACGAACAAACAGAAACGTTGATCATCAACACGATGGCTGAGGCCGGGTCCTCGCCCGTCGCGAGTTGATAGTCTCAGCCCGGCCACCAATTAATACACAAAACACCCTCATCGTTGAATTTGGCAAAATTCCACCTCTTAGAAATGCTAAATAATGGTTTGACCATAACGCGACGAATATTACTGCCAGCAGCACCGTAAGTGGGCAAGTGCTGCCCTCTGCTGTGTTGACCAGAGCTCGCTTGGACAAGAAGGGGTCGTCGCTGGTAGCTCTGCGATATCCGCTTCCGTGGGTCGCATCGTATCCTGGAGACTGTTGGCAGGACTTTTACAATACGAATCTTAAGTTGACGATTCAAACGCTGCATTTCAGTCACAACTCAAAGTTGTCTCCTGCTCGTTTTAGCATTAAGGAATTGGTGCTCATCTCTTGTTTACAGCCCGCAGACAGTCGTGGAAATTCCACATTCTTATGGCGGGCGTAAGTGAATCAATAGTACAATCACTGTTGATCTTTCCCAGAAAGTGGTACTGATTTTAGCGACTCCGGAGGGAGGGATGATGATTCAACTCATTCATCTAGGACAGGGGTCGGCAACCTACGGCTCCGGAGCCGCATGCGGCTCTTTACGGGCTGCTTCTTGACGATATGTACGTGAGTACAGTTGTACTCAGATGCATTGCGGCTCTTGAAATACTGAATTTTGTACCGAATTGGAAAGAAATGGCTCTTCTTGTTATTTTGGTTGCCGACCCCTGATCTAGGGTTATTGATTCGCGACCATCTAATTGCGAGCGGCTGTCGGCCGATATACTCCTTGCAATGATACAAAACTCGAGTGGTTATACCGACGCGAATCACCTCGGAATATCTCTCATTAACGCTCGTGACGTCACTCCACATCGACCAGCCCCCCTCATTAATATACACGAGCAGGTGACGTCCTCCAAATGGACACCCCCCCCCCTCATTAATAATCATGATCGACTGACGTCACACCACATGGGGGGCCGAGGCGCCTCCTCCCCCCTCCTCGGCGTCAACTCACAGCCCTCACGACAAAGGCAGAACCCTCACGCCACGCGATCTCCGTGACGCTGTTGAGGTATCAAAGTAAAAAGGACGTCGTGATGAACAAGGGATTATATCCTTAAAATGAAATAAGTCTGTGTCACCGCGCCCTTACTAACTGCACGCGCCCTGATGCAATGAATGTGACGTCGCGGTCTGCTTTTCGCTTGCAAGTTTCAGATTTGCTGCAATACACCCGTCCTTGGACGGGCAAAAGGCGAGTCTTATAGATAGCATTTCCCCCGCCATAGGAATGTGTAATTTCCACAACTGGCTCTGCAGGGCTGAAAACAGGATATGAACACGAATGCCCCGATGCTCGTGTGAGCAGGACCTCACCGTGACTTTTCGTGTGACGTCACTGTTGTTTGCCGTACTTTGAATACCACTGCAGTGACGTCACATTCCTAAAGAAGTACGGCGGCCTACCTGAAAGTCACTTTAACGTCATTTCTCCCCTCACTAAGCTTCAGGCTGGCACGGGGCAGCCCTGGACACGTCACCTTGGTGTATAGCTACAAGGGCTGTGCTTGTGTGTGTTGGCCTGGGTCTGTCACGTGTCCAGTTTGGGCATTCTGACAGAGCACAGCGCGGAGCTCGCCCCGAGTCGTCTCGCCTCGCGACGTCGACTCCGCGGTCGCCTTTCGCTTTGGCCCGAGCTGCGGGTATTCACGAGGTACGAGGCAGCCCCTTGTGGGAGAGAGACAGGGAGAGAGAGAGAAACGAGAGAGATGCAGAGCGGGAGATGGGAGTTTCAAACACCGACAAGGCGACGATATCTGATGGGGAGAAGACAGCAAGTTGGTGGAGGAGCAAAATATCTTTAAAAAACGCGAGCCCGAATACTGACCACGTGGACAGGTGTGACGTAGGTTTGTCATAGAACGTTGCAAAATGCCCAGCTCGTCATTGTGGAGAGTGCTTGCAGCTTCATGTTTGTGCCGACATCTCCACACTCGTTGCACTGGTTGTAAAACTACAAGTGGTGACCCTGATGGGCTCTCGTCTGGTTCAATAAAGCGGTGCTTCTCATCTCATTATCCACGGCACTCACTCTCGAGCTCGCTCGATCTTCGCGGCCACACCGAGGGTGGGCAAGGATGGGTGAGTGCGTGCGTGAGTGGGTGAGTGTGTGGGTGCGTGAGTGGGTGGGTGAGTGGGTGGGTGAGTGAGTAGGTGAGTGAGTGGGTGGGTGCGTGAGTGGGTGGGTGAGTGAGTGGGTGCGTGAGTGGGCAGGTGAGTGAGTGGGTGCGTGAGTGGGTGGGTGAGTGAGTGGGTGCGTGAGTGGGTGGGTGAGTGAGTGGGTAGGTGGGTGAGTGGGTGGGTGAGTGAGTGAGTGATTGGGTCCGTGAGTGGGTGGGTGAGTGGGTGGGTGGGTGAGTGCGTGGGTGGTTGGAACGGCGTTGTCGCTGAGAGAATTCACGATCCTGTGGTGGTGATGCTCTCATTGAGGCTACCAAAATCCGTGGCAAAAATGTCCCCAACTGTGTGTCTGTGTGTCTTTGTGTACGTCTCCATTTACCTGTGTGGGTCTCCGGCCTCTGTGTTTGTCTTTGTGTCTCTGTCTTTGTGTGTATCTCCATATGTTTGTGTGTCTGTTTGTCTCTATGTCGCCGTGTGTGTATTTGTGTCTGTTTGTGTCTGTGTGAGTCCGTGTCTCTTGTGTGCCTCTGCGTGTGTCGCCCTGTCTGTGTGTGTCTCTGTGTGTCTTTGTGGGTGTCTCCTTGTCTCCGTGTCTGTCCAACTGCCCTTGTACTACCCAGGGAGTTGAGAGGGTTGCAGATGAGGGCTGACGGCTTCCTGCCCCACCTCACCGCGACCAAAGGAGAACGGAGGGCAAGAGGTTGGGGTTGGGAGCGACACTTTCTATTTTTTATTTTACCAGGTCAGAAGGCCTGTTGAGCTAAATAGCTTTTTCTCAGAAGCGACCTGGTCACAAATTATAGCTCAACGAAGTGGAGTACCGTGAGCAATGTATAGTAGCCAAATACTCTCAAGCTGAATTCCAACCCTAAGATGAACCTTAACATGAGCCCTCACCCAAAGACTAGCCCGTCCCTGTCCCTTAGCACAACTGTACGGTTTATGGAAGGTGTAAATAAACGTATCGAAGGTAATCATTAACATAATATAACAATTCCCCACACATTGCTACAATGACTAATACAAAGCCACTCACACGCACAAACACGTTCTCAGGGTGAACTATTGTTGCGTCACAAGGTCACGTGGCATTGAACACAGCCACTCAGGGGGCTGCTGCAACTGGGCCGCAGAGGAGACTTCTAAGCTTCGCCACACGGGGGCGATGTTGAGTCGAGGCGACTCCACGGCGACTCTCCAGCCCCCCCGCCCACCACGCGTTGAGTGATTGAAGCTGTAACTCCGTTAAATCTTTTACAGGTGGCTGCTTGGCTGGCTTGATCTCAGCGGGGATACTCGGGGCTTGTCACCTGTCTGGGAATCGGCGCCTATGTTCGGCTGGCAGGATTTGAGTTGCACCGAGGTCTGCTACCGCTGTTGGTGTGTTAAATTCAATTTTACGATCCTGCACTGCGCAGTGTTAATAATAGACCTGCACTGCTTGAGAAACATGTACGGGTTTGTTCTGTTTAAGAGTTGGCAACCCTAGATAATGGGGGCTGCGAGTGTATGGTCCTATTGTAGATCCACTGCTGGATGAGCATGGTGGAGGTTATTTGACCCGGTTATCACATCGATGTAACAGTGTACAAGTACAGTACAACAACCCTCTGCCACCCACTCCTTAGCCCCACAGCAGCGTCGAGCACCGGTCCTGAGCTGGGTGGTCACACATCCGAGCCCTGTCCAGGTTCAGCCAGGCCGCTGGAGACTGTGGACACGATGCGAATCTTCTTGAGTTGCGTCACGGGAATGCGATTCGAGGCTTTAGATGAGGTGACTCTTGGAACGTAAACCGAAAACACGCCTCTTCATCACGTTTAGTTGTCAATCGGGAGAAGGAGGGGGAGGGCCGATCGCCGAGACGGGCAGTGGAGCGGGCCCCACAAGTCCGACGACTCAAGGGAACAGAAGGCCAACGAGTAGACGGTGGGAGACTGCCAGGGCACATCGTAGAGGCCTGCTGCGTGGCCCCTGTGCAACATCAGCAGCTCGTGGTGGAGGTGGTAGTGATGGGGTAGTGGAGCGGGAGTGTCGTGGCGAGCGCACTGCGCTACGAAACCGGCGACGCGTGTTCGATTCCCGCTCACGGCCAATACCAGTGGCAGTTATTTGGGCCTCCCCTAGGTGGACTTAGTCTCAAATGAGTACCTGGTGATGCTGGCCACCCACCCCTCGTGTGTCGTACCGGTCTTCATAGGTGCTCGCTAAAAGCACTTGCCACAAGAATCTGTTAAGGCTATACGAGGGATCTTTGGTGGTGATGGTACATCTCCCCTCTCGTCTAAGTATACTCCCCCCCCACACACTATCCTAGCCCTCCTTTCTCATCGCACTCGACTCTGCTTTGCTCCACGCTTCCTCTACTCCAGCAGCCAAGGTTTTCTATAGAAGCTATCAGTCAAAACCTTCGCTCAGTGGATGGTCGTACTGATGACGATCATCGTGCCCCACTTATACCATGTAAACATACTTCGCCATAGTAGCAACGTGTGTTATACACCGGGAAATTATAAACGACGTATCACAAACTACCATTGCGCCCTCTTATCAGTTCCCCAATTAGATGATTATCCCTCCACTTCTTGGCAGCTCATCGCAGTGGCGGAAATCGAAGTGGTTAATGAGGCAGGGCGGTTTGTTGAGAATGAGGCGGATTATTTAAGATCCGTGCCGGAGCGAGACCGTGAGCCGGCGGCGGGCTCGGAGGAGTGGAGGAGGAAGAGGAGTGGAGGAGGAAGAGGAGTGGAGGAGTGGAGGAGGAGTGGAGGAGGAAGAGGAGTGGAGGAGGAGTGGAGGCGTGGAGGAGGAGGAGTGGAAGAGGAGTGGAGGAGGAGGAGTGCAGGAGGAGGATAGAAAGAGGAGTGGAGGAGTGGAATAGGAGGAGGAGTGGAGGAGGAAGAGGAGTGGAGGAGGAGGAGTGGAGGAGGAGGAGTGGAGGAGGAGGAGTGGAGGAGGAGGAGTGGAGGAGGAGTGGAGGAGGAGGAGTGGAATAGGAGGGGTGGAGGAGGAGTGGAGGAGGAGGCATGGAGGAGGAGGAGTGGAGGAGGAGGAGTGGAGGAGGAGTGGAGGAGGAGTGGAATAGGAGGGGTGGAGGAGGAGTGGAGGAGGAGGCGTGGAGGAGAAGGAGTGGAGGAGGAGGAGTGGAGGAGGAGTGGAGGAGGAGTGGAGGAGGAGTGGATCTGGAGGAGTGGAGGAGGAGTGGAGGAGGAGGAGTGGAGGAGGAGGAGGAGTGGAGGAGGAGGAGTGGAGGAGGCGTGGAGGAGGAGGAGTGGAGGACAGGAGGAGGAGGCGTGGAGGAGGAGGAATGGAGGAGGAGTGGAGGAGGAGGAGGAGTGGAGGAGGAGTGGAGGAGGAGGAGTGGAGGAGGAGGAGTGGAGGAGGAGTGGATCTGGAGGAGTGGAGGAGGAGGAGGAGGAGTGGAGGAGGAGGAGTGGAGGAGGAGGAGTGGAGGACAGGAGGAGGAGGCGTGGAGGAGGAGGAGTGGAGGAGGAGTGGAGGAGGAGGAGGAGTGGAGGAGGAGTGGAGGAGGAGGAGTGGAAGAGGAGTGGAGGTGGAGGAGTGGAGGAGGAGTGGAGGAAAGGAGGAGGAGTGGAGGAGGAGGAGTGGAGGAGGAGGAGGAGTGGAGGAGGAGGAGGAGTGGAGGAGGAGGAGTGGAGGAGGAGGAGTGGAGGAGGAGGAGTGGAGGAAGAGGCGTGGAGGAGGAGTGGAGGAGTGGAGGAGGAGGAGTGGAGGAGGAGGCGTGGAGGAGGAGGAGTGGAGGAGGAGTGGAGGAGGAGGAGGAGTGGAGGAGGAGTGGAGGAGGAGGAGTGGAGGAGGAGTGGAGGTGGAGGAGTGGAGGAGGAGTGGAGGAAAGGAGGAGGAGTGGAGGAGGAGGAGTGGAGGAGGAGGAGGAGTGGAGGAGGAGGAGGAGTGGAGGAGGAGGAGTGGAGGAGGAGGAGTGGAGGAGGAGGAGTGGAGGAGGAGGAGTGGAGGAGGAGTGGAGGAGGAGTGGAGGAGGAGGAGTGGAGGAGGAGGAGTGGAGGAGGAGTGGAGGAGGAGTGGAGGAGGAAGAGGAGTGGAGGAGGAGGAGGAGTGGAGGAGGAGGAGTGGAGGAGGAGGAGTGGAGGAGGAGGAGTGGAGGAGGAGTGGAGGAGGAGGAGGAGTGGAGGAGGAGTGGAGGAGGAGGAGTGGAGGAGGAGTGGAGGAGGAGTGGAGGAGGAAGAGGAGTGGAGGAGGAGTGGAGGCGTGGAGGAGGAGGAGTGGAAGAGGAGTGGAGGAGGAGGAGTGCAGGAGGAGGATAGAAAGAGGAGTGGAGGAGTGGAATAGGAGGAGGAGTGGAGGAGGAAGAGGAGTGGAGGAGGAGGAGTGGAGGAGGAGGAGTGGAGGAGGAGTGGAGGAGGAAGAGTGGAGGAGGAGGAGTGGAGGAGTGGAGGAGGAGTGGAGGAGGAGGAGTGGAGGAGGAGGAGTGGAGGAGGAGGAGTGGAGGAGGAGGAGTGGCGGAGGAGGAGTGGAGGAGGAGGAGTGGAGGAAGAGGCGTGGAGGAGGAGTGGAGGAGTGGAGGAGGAGGAGTGGAGGAGGAGGCGTGGAGGAGGAGGAGTGGAGGAGGAGTGGAGGAGGAGGAGTGGAGGAGGAGTGGAGGTGGAGGAGTGGAGGAGGAGGAGGAGGAGTGGAGGAGGAGGAGGAGGAGTGGAGGAGGAGGAGTGGAGGAGGAGGAGTGGAGGAGGAGGAGGAGGAGTGGAGGAGGAGGAGGAGGAGGAGTGGAGGAGGAGGAGTGGAGGAGGAGGAGGAGTGGAGGAGGCGTGGAGGAGGAGGAGTGGAGGAGGCGTGGAGGAGGAGGAGTGGAGGACAGGAGGAGGAGTGGAGGAGGAGTGGAGGAGGAGGAGTGGAGGAGGCGTGGAGGAGGAGGAGTGGAGGA